TTTATGTTTAAGTATTAATAGTCTTTACAGAAAATTTATTTTTTCTCTCTTTCTGTCATTTTTAAAAATCCCTGAGTCGGCTCTGATGAATCAAACTGTCTTCATTTTCTAATCTCACAAATAACCACAAAAGCAGAACAGCTAATCAAAGGCATCAGCTACTAAAAGAAGTGCACTCTGATAGCTAAGAAAAGCTAAGTAATAACCTCCAAAAGAAAACAAAAAACATCAACAAAGAGGAGCGCATTAATGTGAAAACGGCATAAAAAGTGCATCACTAGTGCAGTACCGGGTATGTTGTTTTGGTGATCTCCAGGAGCTTCTGCTTGGCTCTTCGCTCAGCATCCTTTGCTTCTGTCAGGTCCTGCTTCAGGTGATCTGCTTCCTTCAGCCTGGAAACAGACGACTGACAGATCACTAAAACCGCTCAGCTAATCTGCAGGAAATACATCATTTTGGTTCCCCTCATAAAGATAAAAACCTTAAAATAAAATCCTGATTAATTCCAGTATAATGGTTTATTAATTTTAGTGTTAGTTTGAATATATTTATTAAGTAGGAACAAATGAAGTTGCCTCTACTCCCGCCTTCTTCAAATCTAACAAAATCGCTGTCAAACGTTTGTGCAGCAAAGGTTTTTGTTTGTGCTGCGATCATTTTAAAGATATTAATAAAGAAGTTTGCAGAGGTCATCATTAGTGTCTTGAAAGCAGAAGCAGCACAAACATTTATTTTTTTGCTGCACACACGTAGCTGAGTTGATTGAGACCAAATTTTTTTGATTTTGTAAATGTGAGCAGGACGGCTGGTCGACCTCTAATGACCTTTTTTATTCATATCTTTAAAAATGATGGCGACACAAATTAACATTTTTACTGCACAAACCAGCACAAAAATTTGATACCAATTTTGTTTGATCTGAGTCATGTGGGGGGACTGGTTGACCTGTAGACCTATACATTCTCATTAATATCTTCAAAATAAAAGCAGCACAAATTAACATTTTTGCTGCACTAACCAGTACAAACGTAGCACAAATATTTGACACCAATTTTGTCTGATTTGAATTGGGAATGGTTGACCTCTAATGACCTCTGGAGACATTTATTAGCATCTTTAAAATGCAGCACAAATGAAAATTTTTGCTGCAAAAACACAACACAAATGCAGAATTTCTTTCATGAGTTGTTAAGGCAACTTATCTAAAATTCTAGAAAATAAAATCTGATTTATCTCATAATAATAATAATAAAAAAACATGTACATAATGCTATAAAACTAAATATTTGCAGTTTTGGGTCTAAAATCTCAAATTTAATCCAACATGAACACAAACGCGGTTCGGTTAGTTTTCAGTTCGGTTAGTTTGTGACACATCATGGATTATTAAAGCAGCTACTGATCCAGTTCTTAAGAACTTTGTGGATTTATTGTCTGTACAAAATTCATCCAGACAATTAATAGTATCTCCTAAGTCTGCCGTAGATTACTTTTTCGGAAACAGTTTGTGGTGCATAGATTCGCTACAATCTGTGTTAAAAGATTTTATTTTCCCCAGAAATATAAACAAAGCACAACTACAGGCTTCAACAAGCTTCTTCATTTAAAACTGACGCTTATAAAGAGACACCAGGAGCTAATATCTGTGATTAGGCTTTAATTAGGACAGTTTCATTCACAATTTGTTAAGGTAATTTATCCTGCCACTTCATCTTTTATAAATAGATACAAGCATGTAATAAATGGTACATCTGCAGAAAAGCCATGGAGAAAGCAGTAATTAATTACAGTAGAGCAGCAGTAGTAAAGATAATTTCACACCTCCTCTCAGACTGCTCCACCAGCTTTACAGCCAGCTGCTCCGCCTCCCTCATCTTCTGCTCCATCAGGCGTTTCTCCTCCTTGGTCTTCATGGCTGTGACCTCTAACCTCTGTCGCTCCTGCTCAGCCTCTGCAGCTTTGTGAGCCAGAAGCTTAGCCTCCTCCTCAGCGATCTGGGCCTTTTCTGCCAGCAGGTCTGCCGTCTCCTCAGACCGCAGCTGGACGAACAAATGAAGACAGGAAATATGAATCACGATTCAGGAATGTGATTTTTAACCATTTCATTCGTTCACGCGTAGTTTGAGTCTGAAACATTGGCGATCTCACCAGGGCCTCGTTAGCGAGCCGCGCCTCGTCCTGCAGCTGGAAAAGTCTTCGCTCCATCTCCTCTTTCGCTCGCTCTGCTTCCTCTCTCATCTGCTTTTCCCGAGCCAGGATCTGACGCTCCATCTAGATGGAGGAGAAAAACGAAAGACTCAGAATTAAAAACAACCGAACACAGTGGATTATCACGTTTTCAACACTTTTCAAGTCAAAATCCAATCCTGGACTCAGATCACAGATTTACTCAGTGATTTGAGTAAATCAGTTCAAACCATTCGGTCTGGACCGTTTTTAAGTTATAAACACAAACATTTACAGTGAATTTAGAGGAGATATTTCAGTTGATATTAGTTTTTAATACAAAACCGACAAAATCCACATGAGGGAGAGAAAGCAAGAGCAGGAAGAGAAAAAATACAGCAACAGAAGAAGGGATTAAAGGAAAGAACAAAACATAAAAGAAGCTGCAGAGGAAAAACTAAAAGAAGGAATTTATCAAGGAAAGAATGAACCAAGCAAGGAAGAGGAGACAAAGAAAGGAGGAAGGAAGGAAGGAACAAATGATGGAGAGGAAATGAGGAGAAAAAGACCAAATTAAGGAAAAGCAGAAAGACGGAAAAGCAAATAGGGAAAAAAGCAAGAATAAAATCTGGAATCACACATTTCTTTTCCTATTCTTGCATCCAGAGTTTTAAAAATCCATAAGTAAAATCGGTAATTTCCCCCCCCAACCTTCTTGCGGGCCTTCTCCTCTTTGGCCTGAGCCTTCATCTGCTGCACTTCGATGGAGTCCACCTTCCTCCTCCTCATGAACAGATCGTGGTTCCCGATGCACAGCTGCAGGATCTGAAGCACAAAGAAACATCATTCACTGCCAACACAGACAAATGATTTAGCCAAAACAATAAACCCACCAGCTTGTTGACACGCAGCTGGGATGAGTAGAACTTGAAGACGTCTTTCTTCTTGTCTAGAGGTTTGATTGTGAACTGCAAGAACGGAGGCTCGGTTACTACAGAAAATTACAGAAACTCTCCTGCAGTAATCCTAGCTTTGGAAGCAAAAACTCAGAATTTGATTTTTACTGATGAATGCTTAAATAGTATTTTATCAGTTAGATGAAAGCAGTTTTCAACAGAAGAGGAGCAGGGCCACAGGAAAATAAATTCAGAATTCTTTCTTAGAATTCTCTTTTTTTCAGAATTCACCAGAATTTTTCTGACTTTAGTCTTCTAAGATCAAATTAAAGCCAGAATTATTTTATTTTTCCACTGGCCGTAATCTTTTTCTGTAATTTTCATATGTATTCTGCCAAATTACAATGATGTTCGCTGTTATTTAAGTGCACAGCAGCCTATTTACTCATTAATAAGTAAAAACTTATTAATGAGTTCTGTTACATTTTACCACAACTGGCCCTTTAAGAACATTTATAATCTTTATATGTCCCAAAATAAGAGTGAGTTTGACATCTCTGCTCTAGCGGGATGACTCTAATCAAACACCCTGAGCCGCAATGGAGTGGTTTAGATTGAAGCATATTCATTTTTTACAAAGTCCTAGTCAAAGTCTAATTAAGAATCAGTAGTAAATCTCTATTCAATCTAGCAAAATTTGAGATATTTTGCAAAGAAAAATGGGCAAACAATTAACTATATATTTTTGAAAAGTTGGGCAACAAAATATTTCCAATTAAAAACAAAAAAAGATTTTTTGTTTTCCTACCACTGCAGTTGAGCACCATGTTGTGGTAGTAATGTGACAAAATGCACTAAAAGTGTCGATTTTATTTCTTTAAACCCACAGAAACGGATTAAAATTCTCTGCACTCACCTCCTTCTCGCTGTAGGAGATGTTGCGGATCCCGCTCCAGGGGAAAGACTTGTTTGGGTTCAGTTTGTTGTTGGGGTTGTAGATATGGAGACCCTGAGCGTCCACACCCAGTAACAGGTCTGTGTCTCTCTTATTTTGCTGTCCAATAAACAATACTAAACGTTAAGAACTGTTCTTAGCGCTGTGGACTGGTTTAGTCGTGCTGCAGTCATCAACACTCACAGTAATGGCAAAGTAGCTAACACCGTACATTTCGAGGTCCTGGGCGATCTTCAGGTATTCCATCTCTGCTTCGTCTCTGAGCAGAAAGAGGCATTGCAATTAAAACCCAATCCTTTAGTAAACTGTTGTTAATTTAAGGGAAGTCCTACCTGGCGATGCCTCTGTGTTCGGCGTACCAAGCTGTGATCTTCTCCTCCCACATGTCCGCAGTCATTTGGTACTGCATCAGAACCTGAGACGTTCCCATGGAAAACAATCAGGAGTCTAACAATTAACCTGTTTTCACAGATGTCTGGACGTAGCTTAGCTTAGCATGCTTACCCTTTTTGGCAACAGCTCATCTTGTGCAAGAAAACCCGGCTTGTGAAAGTTTGGGTCGTAGTCCCCGTACTGGGATGGACATTAAGAAATAAGAAAAAGAAAGCATTAATGTGGCTCTTAGCCATATTACTATGTCTAAATTAAAACAGAATATACTTATCTATTAATTTAAACAGTATATCATGTCTTAGGTTAGACGTTTATCCATTCATTAATTTCAATTTTGATCTTTTAATAGTTCCAGAATGTGATGATGATAAAAAAACAACTTTAAATCATTTTTAAAACAAGAATTGAATAAATTAATTCACATTTTCTGTGTAGTTTCTTCTAATCCACACATACAGTCCAGATTATTTATACTTATATTAATTATATCCTGTAAGTTGTGCTTTGTTTTTTGTACCCATCAACAATCTTCTTCTCTAACAATTAAACAGAAGCTTAATTGTTAGAGAATAAGCATGCTGCATTATTTAGCTGCAAAGAAAACAGATATATTGGGAGAGTTTCGGTAAGCCTCTAGAACAAAAAAACCGCAACTGTTCTTTTTTGTTCTTAGATGTGATTCTTCATTAGCCAAACTTCAGTTTAATAAATTGACCTGATCTGCACAAAGAGAAGCAGTTTACTAATTCACAACTCCAGCTCCTGGTTTCAAAGAATGTTGAGAATAAAAACATTTCTGCAGTGTAAAAACACTTCATCACACTATAAACAATATATGAAATTTATTTCTCTGCCCTTTTGATTCCGTGAAACGCTGACATTGCCTTAGTTAATCTCACCCTGACAACGTGCTTAAAAGCTAAATAAAAAAAAAACACTTTGTATGAAATCTACCAATCTGGTGGGAATTTGTGTTACAAATGAAACTTGCTAAAGAATATTATTCACCCAATAAGTTGTATTTATATACCTTTTTTTTTAATATAATTTTGATCCTTAGTAGATAAGAAACAACATTCAAAGAACTTTAAATTTGCGAACTGATCATCAGCCTTTATGGTTTATGTCTCAAAATGTCTGAAATTTAAAAATAATGCCTGTAGCTTTGCATTGTCCTCCTACCTTTGCTTGGACAGCATAAGAGGCCAAAAGCACTGAAGCTTCTGGGGAACAGAATATCTCTTCATCTAGTATCTGTTTTTTCACCTGAAAATAAGAGTTTCACACCAAGTTTATGATATTTACACAAAAATACACAAAATGCATTATATTTTTGTTGCTACCTGTAAGAAAAATAGGTGTTGGGTGATTTCTTGGACCAGTTCTTCTTCAACTTTCTCAGGGAAGAATTTCGCTAGAAAGTGAAACGTTATGGGGGAATCCTTAGGAACCTCCTGATCCAGAACCTTGTTGGAAAAAAACACATTAAAAGGAAGAAATAAAACAATTCTGGGTTCAAATAACCAACAATCTTCATTAGAAGTAGCAGCTACTGTCAGACTTTATTGATGAAGCGCTTCACTCACCCGTTTCTCCTGTTTAAGCCAGGCGTAGGTGTCCTTCACTGTGTATCTGAGTCCAAAGAACCAGGTCTCCCTCAAACCGACGGTGCGACACACCAGGTCAAACAAATCTTTACCTTTCCATTTGACCTGAGGCAAGCAGAGCGACGTTAAAACCTTTTTCCTGCAGTTGCTTTTCTGAGATTTTCAGGAACAAGCAGAAAGAAGCCAGTGGCACTTCTGCCCCCTGCAGGAACCTTTAGGTATAACACTTGAATTTATATTAAAAGCTTTTCTTGTTTTTAACAAAAATATTTATAGCAGGATTGCAAAATAGCATAGTACTAAGTGGAATCATCACTTAAACAGATAAAAACTTGGGAGTTAAGATACCAAGCACATCCGACTTTAAGTATCAACCAACTCAGTTAAAAAATGTGAATTTATTTTTTAAATAAAATACCTAAAATAAAGTGGCTTAAAATGTATAATCACTTCAATTGAAAGGTCTATAATTAATTAATTGCATTTGAATCAAATGATAAAATAAGTGATTCAAAATCCCTTTTGGCTGCTAAATTATTGACCAAATAGATGTATGAGCTCCACAACACATTTATTACCGTCTGTTATTTAGGTTATTCACCCAACAAGTTTGAATCTTTGACCTTGTCTCTCGCCTTCTTTGCTTAAATAAATATCTCTTCTTTCGCAATTTCCAATTATTCTTACATTCCTAAGTGATTGCTGTTTTATTTTATATTTTTGTTTCACTAATTTTTGTAGATTTTTGCTTAAAAAAAAAACCCTCCAAGCTAAACATTTTTACCTTCATCTGTTCCTGATGAGTCACTTCTTCTTCCTCTGTCAGTCAGAAAACTTACTGTCTGCTTTGTTTAAGCAAACAAACCACAAGCTAGTTTACTGCACATCCGTTTGCAGCAATATGTGGCACTTCTTCCTTGGACTAATCATTAGCAGTTCTTATTTAGTACAGACTAATCAAATGTTACATTGTCCTGAACTTGTAAATAATAACCTAACATGAAGTGGCATGTTCATAATCTACAGCTTAGCTTTGATGTATGATGGATAAATAAAAACTAACAGAATATTTTTTCAAGTGATGAAGCAGCAGAAAAGCAGTGGATGATGTTTTATTTCCTTCTTTCTCTCCAAACAGCAGACAGACGTTTGTATCTTCCAGCCAGATACAGTTCAGAGTCAGACTGTGAACCCCCATCTATAACTGATCACTAAACGAGATGAGTCAGGGCCTGCGCAGACACAGAAGTCTGCAAAAACAATTTCCCCAGGCCAAACCTGACTAATACACATCCAAGAAGATTATATGTCACATTTCAGGAGGTATGCTTCATTTTTTATTGCAACAAGATTCCTCGTCTCTTTTCAGTTTTCTCTTTTAGCGGACACTTGTATGGAGGAAAGGCTTGTGCAGCTCATGACCGACACTGTAG